AAAGGAAGAGGAAGACAAAGAGAGAGGTTGAGGTAGAGTTAGCTTCTGGATCTGGATCCTCAAGTTCAGAAGATCTTGACACTGACATAGAGTGGGAAACAGGGGAAGAGGAGGGGGATTTGAGGATGCTGACATACATGAAGGTGTTGACAACACAGTAAACAAGATCATTAAAGAAGTGAATGCTAGTTTACAGTGTGGGGAAGATAGGACTGAATATGAGGTGGAGAACAATGTTGAGGTGCTTGAAAGTGAGCTGTTGAGCAAAGAAATTACTGTACAGGGAGAGTTCACATCAGATTCAGAGGAGTTGGACAACCCTAGAAATTCAGATGATGAGCAAGATGACTATACATGGTTCCATGCCTCAGTAGACTTTAAGAAGCCTATTCAGTTGGTAAAAGGACTGAAGTTCCTCAACAACAAAGTTCTAAGGAAGGCTCTGAAGGTTCATGCCATTGAGAATAGGTATGAATATTGGTTTTTGCACAATGATAGCAGCAAAGTAACTATCCAGTGTAGAAAGAGGTGTCAGTGCAAATGGAATAAAAAGAAGTGTAGGCTGCCTCAGTGTACATGTGTTGGAGGGAGGAGATGTCACTTTAGGGTTGTTGCAAGGAGTTTGAATTTAAAGCACAAGTGCTTAAGGGTGAGAAGCAACCTGAACCTAACTGCTGAATTCTTAGTAGAGACATGCATTGAAGATTGGAGAAGTGAGCCTGGGTGGAAAATAAAAAGCTTCAGAAGGAGGGTTTTAGGTGATTTTGGCATAGAAATTACCTATAGCAAAGCTTGGATGGCAAGGGCAAGGGTTAAGCTAATGATTTATGGTTCAGTAGCAGAACAATATGCTAGAGTGTGGGACTATGGAAAGGCTCTGATGAAATACAGCCCTAGGAGTGATTGTAATGTTGTGGTTGATGGATTGCAGCAAAATGAGGCCCCATTATTCTTGAGGACGTTTGTATGCCTTGCACCTTTGAGGAGAGGATTTTTGTCTGGTTGTAGACCAATAATTGGGGTTGATGGATGCCATCTCAAAGGTCCATACCCTGGTCAGATACTAGTTGTAGTTGGTAAGGATGGCAACAATAATATCTTTCCTATTGCTTGGGCTACAACAGAAATAGAAAACACATAAACATGGGTTTGGTTCCTTGAGAGCCTCATGAAAGCCTTAAAGGATGATGAAAGAGGCCTAGGATATACCTTTATATTTGACAGACAAAAGGTACACTTATATCCACAAATTTATTGTGAGTTATGATTTAATTTTGAAGTTAGTGCACTGTTTTTTGATATTTGATGTGTGAACAGGGCTTGCTAGAGGCTTTGCAGCAGGTTGTGCCTTATGCAGACACAAGGTACTGTGTCAGACATATATGGGCTAACTTCAAGCTGCAATTTAGTGGATCCACTTTCAAGGAGTTGTTCAGGTCAGCAGCAAGGGCAACAACACTAGTAAGATTAATATATGCAGTGTTTTGTAATGTTGTCTGTTACATAAAAAATCCATGTGTGTGTTTTGATTCAATAAGTTTGAATGTTTACCCTTTTTGTTGTAGTTTGACTTTGAGGTAGCTATGGAGTCAATAAGGTTCTTGTCTGAGGAAGCCTTTGAGTATCTTGTTGAAATCCCAGCTAAGCACTGGTCTAAACATGCATTTAGTACATTCCCAAAGTCAAACATGTTGCTCAATAACATTTGTGAGACTTTTAATGTTGTAATCAAGGAAGCTAGGGATAAGCCTATATTGACTCAGATGGAGTGGCTTAGGAGGTACGCTATGAAAAGAAACCATGACAAATGGGAAAGTTATGAAAAAATGGAAGGGAAGGTTGTTGCTTATGTGAAAAAAACATTTCAAAGGATAGAACTAGCAGCAAGGCACTGCATTGTGCAAGTATCTAGGGGTGACAGGTATGAGGTTGAGCTCAACTCAGACCTAGTCACAGTTGACCTAAGCAAGGCAACATGCACTTGCTTCCACTAGGACCTCACTGCTATCCCCTGTGTCCATGCATATGCATGCATCATGGACAAGAGGGCAGACCCTGAAGATTATGTGGACAGTGCCTACCTTGTGTCTACATACATGTTGGCATACAGGCTTGAGTTTGCAACTATGCCTAGTCTTAAACATTGGGAAAAAATTAAGCTGAGGCAACCACTACCACCAGCCATCAAAGTCCAACCTGGGAGGCCTAAGTCTAAGAAGAAAAAGTTGGAGCAGGGAGAATTGGGTGGGCAAAATCAGGAAGTGCAGCAACCACTGAAAAGAAGGAGCACATGTAAGAATTGTGGCCAGCTTGGACACTATGCCAAGACATGCGAAAACCCTCAGTTCACACCAATTGCTGTCTCTTCCCCAAAGAAAGAAGGAGGAAGGCCACCTGTGAACGGTGCCTGGGTGACTGAGGAGAGAAGGAAGAGGGCAGAGAGAGCTTTGAAAAAGGTAAAAATAGTATGCCAGTTGAGCTTTGCTTTTTATATAGTATTGGGGGGAAAAAAACTAACTTAACTCTATTTTGTGTGCTTTACAGAGTGCAGTTTGTGGTATTCCAAGAGGTTCCCTCAAGAAGAGAATCAGAGGTTGCAGCAGCAAACTCAGTTTAGTCAAGCTTCAAGCAATACAGCTGCCACAAACAATGCACCACCTCCTTCATCTTCCACCACAGCTGCAGCCACTGAACCAAGACAACAGCCACCAAGACCCAAGCTTAATGTACTTAGACCTAGGAAGTAGATATAGGTTGCTGCTAGTTTGGTTGTAAATTACTACTAGAGGATAACTGCACAATCTTTTGATTAGGATAAATGAAATATGGATGGGATTGTTACATTTGAATGGCTGTAATGTGTTGAAATTAAATGAACTTGGCATTACTCTTTTGTTCAATGCAAAACAACTCTTTTATTATGAAATACATCTTGTTTATTTCATTGTGCAACAACATAGTAGTAGCATTACAGTCATCCTTCATCACCCCTTAAACCAGTTTAAGAATTACAACAAAACCTAAAACTAAAATTACAGAACACAGTACAACAACAACAAACATAAGCTTGCTGTCAGAATTCTCATTGCTGCACATCATACTCTTCCTGTCACCACTTAGGGCCTTGCATTTCAGCTTCAAATTGTCAACCTCATTTAGCAAACATCTTCTTTGGCCAGTCAAGTCATCAACCTCTCTCTTCAGTGAGTTAATTTCACCCTTCATCAGTTTTTTTTCAAGCAGAAGTTGGTTGATCACATCTCTCTGCCACTCAGTTCCATCATCAATGTCTGCCCATTCAAAACACTTGCATCCCCTACTTTCAGTGACAGGGTCATAGAATTTGCAAGCCCTGAATTTCCTCCCTGGATTGTCCCTAGTCCAAGATGTCAGCTTTGAAAGAGGCAGTCCACAATTGCATTTCTTCTGGTTAGTGAGAGATGAGTTATTCCTGGACATTTTGTAACCTGCAAGTGCCACATCAAATGTCAATCTCTACAACTAATTCAATTACACAACATATTAAACACATCTATTTCAACCACACCTACTCATTGTGGTGGTTGACCTCCATAATGAGGATAACCAGGGGGTGGCCATGTCCCATTTTGTTTCATCCTGTACTCCAAAATACAGTCAGCCAAGAAACCAGGGTCATCTGTGCTCCCACATGTATGGTATACATGACCTTATTAGGTAACCTCCTAATCATCTTGAACACATCACCATCATCCTCTAAAGTCCTATACTTCCCTCTATAAATATACTGAAATGTGGGGTGCATAATGTCAATTGATCCTTCTACTGGGTCTTCCAATTCACGAAGTTTATCTTCAATTTCAATTGTTGTATCCAACAAGTTACTTTTCCCTACTTCATATTCAATGTCAATAACAACACTCAAATACTTAAATCTGAAAACCACCTTATTCTCCTCCATTTCTGCCACAACAATTCCAACAACAATTAATCATAACAAGCTCAACACAGCATCATTCAATCAATCAAAACAGTACGAGGAGAAAATATTGCAAACACAATTACACCAAAGCTAACTAACAATCAATCATAAAAAAACCCAATTGAATAATACCAGGTACCCTAATTGTTGAAATAGCACAAATAATTCATGCTTCGAACAAGAACCCTAACTACCTTAGCCCCCAATATTCCCCAATTACAGGGCAACAAGAACCCTAATTTACGATTCCCCAATTTTTCCCCATTTTCACCTTAACAGGAACCCTAAATTAACAAAAAAATTAACATACCTGATGCGCAAATTAGTTGTAGTCTATCTTGGAGTGCGTCTGCAATTAGGAGAAGCATTTTGGGGAAAAAATTCTGAGAAATTTGAAGAACAAAATGGTTTAAAATTTAGGGGAAGAGTTTTATTGGAAAAAATCGGGGAAGAAGTAATTTTCAAAGCAAAAACTAGCCGTTATTAGTCGTTGGGTGGGATCCACAAACGTAAAAGTCACCGGAATTGCTAAATGGGTGGTAATCTGAGCAATAATTTAATTTAATGGGTGGTAATAAAAAAAAAAAAAAAAAAAAAAAAAAAAAAAAAAAAAAAAAAATTGGGTGGTTATATCAAAACAGGACTATTTTTTGGGTGGTAATTTACAAAAAATCCTAAAAATTACTCGAATTTATCTTAGCAAAATATCACAAGTATTAACATTTTACATCTCCATAATACTCATCAAAAACAGCCAAAATCACGCACAAGAACACTAAATTCATAATAATATTTTGCGATTTTACAGCAAAATTAGATTTATATCTATATAATCGGATTATTGTATGAAAAAACCCTAAGAGTCGATTTATACCCAAATTAACAATGCTTACCTTTATCATTGAGAAATTATACAGCAAATTTAGCAAATTATTGAAGAAAAGTGTAACTGGTAGCAAATTCACATTATTCGAGCTGATGATCGAGTTTAGGAAACTAGAAAAATGCTTGAAGAGAGAGAAAATAGCGTCAATGAGAAAGAGGAGAGAGAAATAAGCGTTTGATTTTTGTGAAATGAATTTAGTTTGTCTGAATTAATCATAGCCGCCTATTTTGTTTCAATCCAATGGTTGAGATTAGTCCTTAATTCCTATTATTCGGCTAGTTCTCACCGTAACTTAGTTATATATTATATAATAATAATAATGTAGCTACAAAATGTGTATTACAAAGTACAATAAACAAAACATTCATCAAGTATATTTCTAATCTAAATTCTAAACTAAACTAGAATCGACACATGTATTTCAACAAGTATCGGTCAAAAATTGAGCTAACTTGTCTCGAACTTCGTCAAGTATATTTCTAAACTAAATTCTAAACTAAACTAGAATCGACACATGAATTTCAACAAGTATCGGTCAAAAATTGAGCTAACTTGTCTCGAACTTCGTCGATCTCTATATTAGTGAATGGCCCTACTCTTGCCGTCTTTGAAACCTAAAATAAGACAAATTATAAGAGAGGTATATTATAACTTAATAAAAAATAAAGGCACATAAATTTATAGCGTATAAACTCATAACTAATAAGTATACATTAAAACATGGATGTACTCTTAAAATTAGGTAACTTTGAATATTTATGGCATTTCAAGTCATAGAAACACATAACTAAGTACTTTAGACATGATTTGAGTGCTATTTTTCTCATTCACATTAAAACGTGGAATTCAAACAAATTTGAAGTCATTTTGCTTATTTTTAGTCTACTTTGGTCTCAATAAGTCTATAAACTAAGTAAATTGGCTTATTAATGGTATTTAGAGACATAGACACTTATAACTTTACTAAGTAATTTAGACATGATATGAGTGTTATTTTACTCATTCACTTACACACATGGAAAATGGGCATGTTAGAAGTCTTCCTTGCTCATTTTGGACCTTTATGGTCATGTTTAGTCCCAAAACTAAGTAAATTGGTAAATTAGTGGTATTATTGGTCCTAGATACTCATAACTAAGTAATTTAGACATTATATGAGTGTTCTTTTGTGCATTTACTTAAAAACATGGAAACTGGGCAAAGTAAGTGTCATATTATTCATTATGGTACCGTTTTGGTCATATGTAGTCCCAAATCTATATTACTTGACATATTAATGGTATTTAAAGACATAGAAACTCATAACTAATTACTTAAAGCATGGTTTGAGTGTTACTTTATTTATATACATTAGAACATGAAAAACGGGCAAGTTACAAGTCATTTTGCCCATTTTGGAACCTTTTTGGTCTTATGTATTCTTAATATTAGGTAACTTCGAATATTTATGGCATTGCAATTCATAGAAATACATAACTAAGTATCGTAGACATGATTTGAGTGTTATTTTACTCATTCACATTAAAACATGGATTTCAGGCAAATTTGATGTTATTTTGCCTATTTTAGTCTATTTGGTCTCAATAAGTCTATAAACTAAGTAAATTGGCTTATTAATGGTATTTAAAGACATAGACACTTATAACAAGGTAATTTAGACATGGTATGAGTGTTATTTTACTCATTTACTTATACACATGGAAAATGGGCAAAGTAAGAGTCATATTTGTTAAAAGAGGGTTAGTGAGTACCTACTCTATATCCTCAATCGAAGTGCAACTTTTGACTATATCATACATGTATCTCATCACGTAGTAGCACATTCAACTCCACCTTCTTGTTGTGCACACTAATAATTCAAGGTCATTTAACAAGGGTTAAATCATTTACTTATTATACAATTTTCTTTTAAGATAGTAAGAGCATATAATTTACCTTCATTGCTTTCCATGTGGGGATTGCATACTTACATATGTACCCAGAAAACAACTTAGGGAAATGGCAAGCCAAGATATTCCTTAGAATAAAAAATAAGGCATACATTCAGCACCAACAGAGTGAGATTAAACGTCCAAAAACAGTTCCAACCGGGGACTATTCAAGATATACTCCTAATGAGTATGCCTTGAACGGGTATCTAGGCACATGATGATGCAAATGATTTACTTATACATGTCAAACACTATTTATATCAGTTTCATAATAAATAAATTACACTCAAACATAGCATATATATGACCATTAAAGAATTTAAATAGAGAATAAAGAAAGAAAATGTGAAAAATACATACCAATATTAGCTTCTACGGAATTGTCTATAATCCGTAAAAAGCTCAACATAAAGGGACCTAAGACAAAATCAAGCGTTAACACATGTTAGTGACTTGAATTTCACAAAAATAAAAAGAAATAACCAAATTATATATTATTGGACAAGAAAATCAATGACAAAGGGAAATTACCAAAGAGTCGATTTTCCTAACAAGCTTGAACTGCAATTCCATAAATGCATTCACTGCATTTATGGTTTCTTCAGGCTTCGCCATCATCCCATATCTTTGTTTTTTTCACAGATTAAAAGATCAACTTTCCGAAAAGAAACTTTAGAATAATCAATGGCATCCTAATTTTCTTACAAGATTAAAGAATATGAACATAGTCAATTAGAGAATAAAGAAAATAAAATAAATAAATAGATAAAAAACATAACATATATATGGGCTGGGTGCAATGTCTGAACAACCAGGAAGCTAATAGACGCTCTCCCAATCAAGGTTAGTTTGATACTATGTGTTGACCCTTTTGGTTTTGATGGACAAACTGACAAACTTGACTAATGAGCGTTTTAAATCTTTGGTGATTAAAGGGTTCAAGCTAAGTTCGTTCCGGAGTAGGAACGTGATTCAAGGGATGCGGAGTAGCATTCTCTAAAAAAGCCTCATGCAAATCTCACGTTCTAGTTTTAATTGTGAGCACTCAATAATATAAGTTTGGAAAGGAACTCAATGACTTATGACTACTGGAATAAAAATTAATTTTAAAACATTTACGTTAAAAATAATTTTTAGAAAAGATAATTTATAAATATTTTTATCTAGCTTATTATTTTCAAATAAAGATAATTAATCGTAGATAATTATCTTAGTTGTTTTAAATAAATAATTAATTTATAAATTATCTTTTTCAAATAAAATCCTTTTTAAAATAAAATCTTTACAAACAAACTTTTGACAAAGTCAACAAGCAGTTTTATTGTTGCATGAATCTGTCATTATACGGTTTTGTCAAAGCAAATATTTAGCAAGTTGTTGAGATAGTGGATTAGTGAGCAAGGCAAGGTTACCTCCTTCATGATCACCATCTGTCACAATTACTCCACAAGTTGTTAGTGGGGTGTTGACATGTGTACGTGATTATAGTGGGAGGTTAATGACTAAGCCTTCTCTATAAATACTCATGCAATCTATCTCAGTAAGTAACTTACAACTCTTGAGCATTAAAATTCGGGACTTGTTATTCATCGCCCGCAAATCTCTACATAAAGCCCACATTTTATAATTTTTTGACAAATTTGCCCTTTTTATAATTTTAACCGAAGATAAATTTTTCGCACTAAAAAAATGTGGAGCAGCACCGGATCGCCGAGGATCACCGGAGAATCGCCGTCGTCATCGGAAAACGAGGTTCGTAACGCATCGTAAGGACGAAATGGTGGCTGGCGCCTAGCCAAAAGGCCATGCCGTGGTTGTGGCGCCTAGCCAGGACGCCGCCACCGTGGTAACGGCGCCTGGTGGAGAAGCCTCGACCATAGTAGTGGCGCGTGGCCAGGACGCCGGAGCCACGGCCAGGGCGCCTGGCCAGGACGCCGCCACCATGGCGGCGGCGTCCTGACCAGGCGCCCCGGCCGTGGCTCCGGCGTCCTGACCAGGCGCCCAGGCCGTGGCTCCGGCGTCCTGGCCAGGCGCCACTAGGGGAATATATATATATTTTTTTTTTTTATTTTTTAATTTAATCCCCTTTTTTTTTTTTTTTGTTTGTTTTTATTAATTTAATCTTAATGTAATTATATTTATACGTTATATGTTATTGTTACAGGATTATGGTGGAGACGGAAATGATTACAGTGGGATTTTTGTACATGATGGCCTGTTCGAAGATGCTCAACAAGCGATTGATTGGGCAAAACAGGTTGCAATTAGATCAGGCTTTTGTTTAGTAGTAGCAACTCATAAATCTCAACGGGATGGTAGAATGGATCGCATTTTGAGATGCGACCGTTATCGCAAAAGAGAAGAACGAGATTTCAGTAAAGCGATTCGGTTTGACTCAAAGCGGAAAAGTTGTGGGTGTCAGTTCCGAGTTAAGGTTCGACAACATCAAAGGCGTGACGGTTGGGAAGTGAAGGGTTACGGCAAATGGGGATATCACAACCATGAGTTGATAGCATACAAAGTGGGGCATCGGCAGTTAAGCGGCCTAAGTCCAGCTGCGAAACTAGTTGTAAAAGAAATGAGTGATGCTCAAGTGAAGCCCGCTAAAATATTAGCGTCTGTGTTAGAGAAATTCCCCGAAGACCAGCCAAACCGAAGACACATCTACAACGTCAGACAGAAATTGAGGTTTGAACGGTCAGAGGGAAGGAACCCTATACAGCAGCTTCTGCACCAGGCACAAGCACGTGGTTACCTTTACTGGTTTGAATCTGACGAAGACACATCGGAGGTAACTCATTTGTTCCTTGTCCATCCTGATTGTGCTGATATGATTTCGTCTTGGCCATCTGTGATTTTGATCGATTCAACGTACAAGACAAACAAGTACAAGTTCCCACTAGTTGAGATGGTTGGGATGGCTCCAACGAACCAGAACTTTCTGATTGGTTATGCAGTCATGAAGGATGAGACGGCTGCGAGTTACCGTTGGGTGTTGGAAAAGTTGAGAAACTACATCGGCCCAAATGTACAGCCATCGGCCATCGTAAGTGATTGTGAGGGAGGTCTTTTTGCCCCTATAGCGGAGCTGTTTCCGGAGTCGAGCCATTTACTGTGCACATGGCACATCAACAACTGCGTGAAAGTCAAAGCCTACAATCTTTTCAACAAGAATTTAGTAACAGCAGAGACATTGGTAAATGGTAAGTGGCGGAAGATCATGCAAGCTACCACAGAGGCAGAGTACGATCGAGCCTTGGAAAACTTCAAGGATGCGTACAAGTGGTGCCCGCCAATCGTAGACTATGTGATGCACCAGTGGGTACCTCAGAGGGAAAAGTTTGTCAAATATTGGACGAACCAAGTTCTTCATTTTGGGAACACTACGACATGCAGAGTCGAGAGCGCTCATAGAGCTTTGAAGGACTGGATTGATTCGTCCACGGCTGCTCTGGATACACTGTTCGAGAGAATAAACAAGGCTATTGATACTCAGAGGAACGGCATCAAGAACTATCTCGAGGACTCCAGACGACGACATGGCATGTTGTATGGCCATTTCATATTTAAGATTCTCCACGGTCGTGTGTCACACCACTGTTTGGGGTTGATTCTGAGCGAGTATACCAGGATGAGGGATTTGGGCGATGAAGTGGCTATTCGGTGCGGATGTGCTATATCAATGACTCATGGATTACCTTGTGCATGCACCATTCACCGCGTAATTACGCAAGACAGGGCGTCGTTACATGTCGATCAGGTTCATCCATTCTGGCGGACACTCGTTATCGGAGAGCATGCTGTTCCGCATACGGTTCACCGTGAACAGGAGGAGTTGGAGCAGTTTCAGTTGATGTTTGACCAAGTGTCCTCCAGTCACCCTTCGATCATTCGTAGTGCTACACACATACTTCATGACATGTTCAATACATCGTGTTTGGATACCGAGGAACCGGAAGGGGTCGACAACCACGGCGGAACAAGAGTGCGTTTGAGTACATTCGCGGTCGTGGCCGTGGCCGTGGCCGTGGTCGTACATCCTCATCAAGTGGCAGCCAATCATCGTCGTCGGTTAATATGCCCGGCACCGGTAAGACATTCGACTTCAATTTCTGTTGTTGACTGTTTGATTAGTTTACTGTTGACTTGTTTATTGTGTTTATTGATGTGTGTAACAGGGAGAATGGACATTGAACATTTTCCATATAAGGACAGGATCCCTAATATCATGATGCCATTCTTGGACGGGTGGAATGATGTCATTGCAGATGGTAACTGCGGATTTCGGGTTGTGGCGGATGTGTTTCAAATGGGTGAAGACAACTACGGTTTAGTGCGGCAGTTGATGTACAGTGAAATCGCATCAAACCGAGATGTGTATGGCCATGTGTACGGCGAGGACTTGGATAGGTCTCTGCAGCGTATCCGGTGGGGAGGGGGACCTTGCGGTCAAAATCATTGGTTCGATGCGCCACTTGATCTCTTTGCCGTTGCAAACATCTACAAGTGTGCAGTCATGCATTTCGGCCTTGGTTTACATAGTCGAGCCTATTATCCATGTACAACGGTTCTGCCCTGGTGTTCGCGCGAGACCGTCACCAGACCGGTAAGGGACGTTGCTATTGGATTTCTTGGGCCGTCATACAGACATTTTATCCGATTAGACATGTCACCCGATTTTTCGGTCCCACATATCATACCGAAGTGGTATGAAATTCGTAGAGCAAGCGTGGAGGGTTGGGATGCTTTGTACCATGCTCGCGTGCAACAGTGGAACAATTTAATTGCCATGTAGTTTTTGTTGATGTACACCTACCTTTTACTATGAGGCCTTGTATTGTCAATACTATGTCATTTCTATGTGTTCATTTTTAAAAGATAATGTTTCATTTTAAACTCGTATATCCAGGTCTGTAACAACGTCAGACATCCAGTGATACCTGCTGCATCAGCCCGGCTCGAGAATCCTAACTGGCGATACAGATACGCCAGCGTAGCCGACCCCCAAGAAAACTGGCCTACTCTGTCGGGCTCACACGCGTCAACTATGTCGCGTGGCCTGAGCTTGTTCCCGCTCTTATCCGGAAACAAGGTACACCCGAGAAGAAGAAAAACATATGCAGCCAGCTGTGTGTCCTGCGTCCTACGTGCCGTAGGGTGCAAACATCGCTGCAAGACGGCTGCGATCTTAACGCCGCCGTGATCCCACACACCAAGTGCCGATGTGTACAGCGCAGCCCTATCCACCGCCAACAGCTCCGCTAGTAAATCTGCCTGATCCGCATCAGTGACGACAGATGCTCGGTTTCCCTCCACGGGAATCCCAAGGATGGCCTCGACGTCATGCAACATGATCGTCATCTCACCGAACGGAAGGTGGAACGAGTTCGTATCCGGCTGCCATCGCTCAACGAAAGCCGTGATCAGCGTCCAGTCAATCCTGTCGTGCATGGTGGCAGGAAGGTGACTCACTCTAGTGCCCCTCAATCGCCCGACCATCTCGCTCTCCTCCGGCCAAGCATCAGCCCAACTACACAAAAACCTACAAGTCTTTTCCCGGGTTTGGCATTTCAAAATGCCTGTATCCAAAGCCCTCTCCTGGTCCTCCCAAATACGGGTAGCGATGTGTCCTAAAAAGCTAGGAATCACACTCCCGTCTATAGGTCCCCCGGCCACCTCACCCCTCACCATCCAAGAATCATTAACGGCCCTCGACCGTTTTCTGCTACCCGCAGACACAGTGGACGCAGATGATGTGCCAGATCTACTAACAAACCTACCATCTCGACCCTTACGCACATCTACCCTATGCGTCTCATACGTATCATCAAGCCTCTGACTGAATGGACCGTAATCATCATATGGTCCACTCTGATCGTCGACATCCTCATCTGCATCATCCTCGTCCTCGACCTCCTCCTCCTCGACCTCCTCCTCCTCCTCCTCATCATCATCATCATCATCATCTTGATCGTCCGCAGAACAGTGCACCCGTTCTCTGCGGGCCGAGGCCGAAATACCACGGGATCTAACGTGTCTGGGCCCCGAGCTCTCCATTGAGTAGATCGTACTCCTCACGACGTCAATACTCTTCCCCGCACCAGGTCTAAATTGCGATGCCTAACTCCAAGTAAATAACGAAACATAATAACGAAAACAAATTAAAAAAAGTCGAAAATAAACACAAAAGCAAATAAACAAGTCACGGAAATAAAATTATAAACATAAAAAATATAAATATATACAAGACAATATACATATAAACATAAGAAATATAAACATAAACATATACCAAAAACAAAAAATATAAACTACAAACAAAAAAAAACAAACATAAACAAAAACAAAAACAAAAAATATTACCAAAAACAAAAAATATAAATACAAAAAAGGACGAAAATAAACACAAAAGCAAATAAACAAGTAACGGAAATAAAATTATAAACATAAAAAATATAAATATAAACAACACAATATAAATAAAAACATAAAAAATATAAATATAAACATAAAAAAATATAAATATGAACAAAACAATATACCAAAAACAAAATATATAACCAAAAACAAAAAATATAAACAACAAACTAAAAAATGAAAAACATAAACAAAAACAAAAAATAAAAAATGCAAAGAAAAAACCAAAAACAAAAAACTAACAAAACTTAAAAAATTTAAAATTGCAAAAACTTAAAAAAAGAAGAACATCAAAATTTTAAAGAAAATTTATAAAAAAAAAAGGGAACTTATAATTTTTTTACATACAAAAATATAATTCAAAAAAAAAAAAAATACATAGGAACATAAAATTAAAACCAGATACAATTTTTTTTTTTAAAAAAAAATAGAACATAAAATTAAAACAAATAAAAAAACAAAATTTAAAAAAAAAAGATAAAAAAAAAAGGGAACATACAATTTAAAAAAAAGAAAAACAAATTTTTAAAAAAAAAAAAATTCGAAAATAAAATTTAAAATTAAAAAAAAACAAAAAAAAATTTAAAAAAAAAAAGAGAAGGAGGCGCCTAGGCAAGACGCCCGTACGGTGGTGGCGGCGCCTAGCCCAGACGCCACTACCACGGCCGTGGCGCCTAGCCTATGCGTCGCCGCCGTGGTATTGGCGTCTGGGCTAGGCGCCGCCACCACCGTATGGGCGTCTTGCCTAGGCGCTTCCTCCGTGGTGGTGGCGTCTCGCCTTGGCGCCCCACCGTCGCCGGAGGTTTTTTTTTTTAAAAAAAAAATTACAAAAATTTAAAAAATTACCTTCTGGCCGGCAAACCGCCTTCCGCCCACCGCCGGTGCCACCACTTCCTTGCCGGGCCGCCTCGACATAGCTCTGGAAATAATTTAGAGAGAGAAAGTGGAAGTAGAGAGTAGAGAGAGAAATTGTGTTTTTTAGTTTGAGGGCAAAAGTGTCATTTCACTCTTATTTTGTGGGCTTTATGTAGGAATTTGCGGGCGATGTTTAACAGTTCACTAAAATTCCAGTAGTAATCTTATAACATAAAGAGAGTTCTTAACCTTCATATATTCTCGAGTGTAATAGGTATTTGTAATTACAGATTGTATTCAAGTACTTTGGGGTTTGGGATTGTGAGTTTTTGTAAGGTAAGGTTAAGGAAGCTTCGCTGTTGAAGTCTTCTGTAAGAGTTGGGAACAAGTTCCTAATTTGTGGAACTTGTTAACGGGTTTGAATTTTCACTTGTAAAGAGTTTGATTACATAGTGGAAATTTGAAAAAGCCTATATCTTCTCTTGTCATTGTTTCATTTAGTTAAATTCCGCAAAAGTTTTTAGACTTCACCTCAAATACAATTCACCCCCCTCTTGTATTAGCGAGTTAGACTTTCACTATGTCAAACAAAATTTTTCATGAATTAGCCACTCAAGATCAATCCTTTCATCACAAAGGAGTTACAGGCATCCCAAATCGCCCAACAAAGAGTCATAACATTCTCACTCTCAACTTCATCCAACTCCTCCTTCGTTCACTCATCCAAAAAAAATGGCAAAAAAGGCACAAAACATATAAAATTACCAAATAAAATTCTTCCAACACAACAATTTAAGAACAAAGAAACCACAATTCCAGAAAATTTACCCAAATGGTTTCAAATTCAGCTAAACCCACATAAAAATGATAGCAAATAAGAGACAGGAAGAGAAGAAACGTCCTTAATCGAACTGAGCAGGGCGGCGTCCACTTATCCCCGCAACTACACGCGCGTTAGGAGGAGTTGTTGCGCGCTTAGGTTTTCAGACCTTGCGAGCTGAAAGGGGAGGAATTGTTGCGCGCTTAGGTTGAAGGAAAGGCTGAGAGGAGATGGCGGCAAGCAGCAGTTCAAAACAGTTGGCCGGAGGAGATGGCGGCACAACGCAGCAGGTCGAACGGAAAAAGCGGAGGGAGAGGATTCGGCAACTGGGGTCGGCGGTGAATGGAGAAGGAAAAGGATTCGAACAATGGGAAGAGCGGATTGAGAGGGTTCGCCGATGAGAGGATTCGGCGGTGAACCGGCGGCAACGTGAGTGAATTGATATTTGGTGTGGGTTCGTGAGTATTGAAGAGGAAAGAGTTGACAAAAAACACAATGAGTCGAAAACAAAACAAGCAAGGGTTTATGTGTTCTTATTTATTTTGGGCGGGGTAATTTATAAACGGCAATTTCATGAAATGCCACTGAGTTTTTAAAAATTTACCAAATGTCATTGCGTTTTTCAGAATTCACCAAATGTCACTGAGGTTTAGTATAATATCACCAAATGTCATTTTCATTAGTTGACCGTCAGTGTCCGTTAGTTGCCCCACCATTTACCACGTGTCACATTCTGATTGGTTCGTTTTTTTAAAAAAATAATTAAACAAAAATAATAAAAAATTCACAAAAAAACCAAAAAAATAATTAAAAAGAAAATAACAGAAACCACCCAAACCCCAACCACCACTCCTTCCACCACCCACTCTCTCTTCTCTCTCTCCTCTGCCGGATTCGCCGCTTGCTCCTCCTCCGCTATCGGCACCGCCATTGACTGAGGAAGGGGAGGGGAGGGCTTTAGATTTTTCCCCAAAACCCCTAAAATTACCATCAATATACCCTGTTTTTAGGATTAGTTTTCCGGCGAAAGGGGAGGGCTTAGGATTTCACCTCCCAAAACCACCGGAATTCGCCAGCGACAGCACCAGAATTTAGCTCGCGAAAACTGCCGGAGTCTTCCGCCCAAAACTACCAGATTTCAACTTCGAAAATTGTCGGTTTCTTGCCGCGAAAACTGACGGATCGCGTTCACCCAAAGTCACCCCCTAAGACTCAAGGCGAAGCTCACGACGTTCCTATTCGCTCTGTTTAACGCGAACAAGAAACCCGGGCCGACATCGGAGAGAAATCATGAGTTATTTTACCTGACCCAGAAGAAGGTTTATGGCATTCCGTTGACGTTAGAGGAGGCGAAGAACTGGAAAGATGTGAAGGGGAGTTCGGCGCCAGAGGTTTTGGGGTGGTGGAGGAAGGGGGTGGGGTTTTGGATTTGGTGTTTAAAGCTCTGGTGGGTCGCGACGGGGGAAGAGGAGGGAAAAGGGAGGGGGGCCGGCGGCCGCCGGCACGCCTTCCGGTGCAGGTCCCGGCGGTAGGGGTTCGGGAACTGGCAGCATGGCTAGGCTGGTGGCTGTTGGGCTGATGGCTGGGGTTTGGGTGGTTTCAAGGGTTTTCTGTTTTCTGTTTTTTTTTTTTTTTTTTAATTTTTAATTTATTTCATTTTATTTTTTTATTTTTTTATTTTTAATTTTTTATTTTTTAAAAACAGACCAATCAGAAGGTGACACGTGGCAAGTGGTGGGGTCAACTGACGATCAACTAACGGAAATGGCATTTGGTGATATTGTACTAAATCTCAGTGGCATTT